CTGGCACGCCGGCCTGCCCTCAGCTCTCTGAACACCGTCTTGCAAAGTGCCATAAAGACACTTCTTAAAACACATCATTGAATTCCCGTTCACCGCTGCACTTTATGGTTCTGGCGGAGCCGGCTTCCTCCCGCTCGGCTTTGGTGCCCGGGAGCCGCTGGAAGCTGCATCTGGGGTCAGGCCTCTCCGTCAAAATTTACTGCGAACATCTTTTTACAGCGCCTGTCTCACTGAGCTGTGAAATACTCTCGCCTCTTCAAAAATGAAAGAAATGAAAATGCATGTTTTACATCTTCTATATATATAAAAAAAATAAAACTCACTTGTGCTTTAAGTCTGCATCTGTCTTTACAGGAGGAGATGGGAAATGTTAGGAATTCGTGGGGCAGGCCAGGCACAGTGGCTTACGCCTATAATCCCAGCACTTTTGGAGGTTTAGGTGGGCAGATCGTCTGAGGTCAAGAGGTCAAGACCAGCCTGGGCAACAGGGCGAAACCCTGTCTCTACTAAAAATACAGAAAATTAGCTGGTTGTGGTGTCGGGTGCCTGTAATCCCTGCTACTCAGGAGGCTGAGGGAGGAGAATCACTTAAACCCGGGAGGCAGAGGTTGCGGTGAGCCGCGATCACATGACTGCACTCCAGCCTGGGTGACAGAGTGAGACTCTGTCTCAAAATAAAAACACAAATGCATGGGGCATGTGCCTGGCTTCAGGTCCCTGTTTTTCCTCTGGGGGAGTGAAGAGGGGCCTGGCGGGCGAGGACCGCTGCGGATGGCGTTGTTGACCTTTTCTTTCTCTGTAAATCAGAAACCAGTGCAGCGTGTAGGTCTTTGGGGATCCGCCGGGCCACAGCCTTGTTCTGGCGCTAAGACGCTGCTGGCCTTCTGAGGTTTGCACTTGGGCTCCACAGACTAGAAGGGACAGGCTGACAGATGTCCCCAAGCTCAGCGCCCAGCCGGCTGGTGGCAGAGCAGGCATGCTCTCTCTGGGAAGTGGAGCTGTCCTGTGGGCTTTGCTGGAGAGAAGCGGCTCTGTGAGCTGTGGGTCACTCAGACCAGGCCACCATGCTTACGGGAGCAAGCCCAGGTTCCTCTCACTTGTGTGTGACTGGGGGCAGGTCACTCTGCCTCTTCCCTAGAACAAGGTGGTGGCACCTGCCAGATGATGTCTGCCAGAGCACCTGAGATGTCTGTGGGCACCTTGTCTAGTTCCATGAAGTGACCAGGGCTTGCCTAGCCAGAGACACTTAGCAGGGCCTGTGGGGTCCCGGCCTGCTAGTCCCACCAGCGTCACGGTGGGTACCTGCCTTTCTGGCCACAGGTGCAGCCGTCTGGGAGTGCCCACACAGTGGCATACCAAGGCCTCACAGTGGGGAGGTCACAGATGCACAAGCTGACACATATAGGGACCCACATTATTGTTTAGAGACAAGGTCTCTGTTGCCCAGTCTGGAGTGCAGCGGCACAATCACAGCTCACTGCAGCCTTGACCTCCCAGGCTCCAGTGACCCTCCCGCCTCAGCCTCTGGGCAGTTGGGACTACAGGCACATTGACTACGCTCGTCTGATTTTGTGTGTGTGTGTTTTTTTTTGGTAGAGATGAGGTTTCTCCATGTTGTCCCGGCTGGTCTTGAACTCCTGGGCTCAAGCCATTGGCCTGCCTTGGCCTCCCCAGGTGCTGAGGACCCAAATAATTAGAAAAGCTCCTCTACCTGCTGTGTTCCCAAGTTGGAAAAAAAAGTTATCCTCCACAATTTTGTTGGCTTTGTTCTCTTCGAGTCTTATTTCACCACCAGGAAGGAGCGAGTGTGTCTGACGGGCAGACTGCACTTTGCGGTTTACAGAACATTTCCGCAGCCAGCTTCTCCTCTGACCCGCCCCGCAAGCCTGGATGCTAGCAAGGGAAGGCCTGCCTTGTTCCTCTTGTAGAGATGGGAAAACTGAGGCTCCAAACCGAGCATGGTGTCAGGAGGTCATGGGCCCAAACTTGGCGGGACCCGGAACAGAAGAAGAGCCACAGCAACAGCCCGGGTCTAGGCTGGGCGCCACCAGCATTTGCCCATCCTCAGATGGGGAGGCAGACCCAGAGAGGCCGACTTGCCTCACTTTCTCCACCCAAATGCTCTAGAGGTCATCTCTCGCTCCCTCTTACCTCCGGACTTTCGCACATGCTGTTCCCTCTGCCTGGAAGACTCTGTTCTTAGCAAACTTGCCCTCGGCCTTTGTTCTTGGCTCATTCATTCCTCAGTGCGCCCCTCAGCCACCCTCAGGTGGACTTGCCCTCCACCAGTCTGTACACTATGTGGGGTGGTGGGAATCCAACGATAAACACAACAGATCCTCTATGGAACCTACAGGCTAGGATGGCCAAGATGAAGAAAGGAGGCCGGGCGCCGTGGCTCAGGCCTGTAATCCCAGCGCTTCGGGAGGCTGAGGTGGGTGAATTGCTTGAGATCAGGAGTACAAGACCAGCCTGGCCAACGTGGTGAAACCCCATCTCTACTAAAATACAAAAATCAGCTGGGCGTGGTGGCGTGTGTGTGTAATCCCAGCTATTAGGGAGGCTGAGGCAGGAGAATTGCTTGAACCCAGGAGCGGAGGTTGCAGAGAGCCGAGATTGCGCCACTGTGCTCCGGTCTGGGCAACAGAGTGAGACTCCGTCTCCAAAAAAATAAAAAAGGAATAAATGTGAGCAAAAGCAAACTATCCCATATCCTGCAGAGGCACAGCAGGTACCAAGGCTGTGGGCCAGGAAGCAGCCTGGCTGTTGAGGGGACCTGCGTAGTAGGGAAGGTGGCGTTGGGAGTGAGGTGCGAAGGAGGTGGGGTGACCAGGGTTTGAATGGAATTTTGGACAGAGGAAGATGGCGCCTGAGTTGTGTTCCCAGGATCCAGGGCTGCGGTCGAACAGATGGGGATGAGGTGCACTTGGGGATCAGCTGGGAGTTGGGGGTGTCTGTTGGGGTCTAGGGAGCCATGAGGAAGTCTCAGCCCCAGGGGGGGGTGAAAGGAAGGCTTGGTTTCTGGGGTGACACAGGGATCAATCCAACAGGTCTGTGGCTGGATGGGACATGGGAGGAAGAGGAAGGAAAGAGGGGGACCCCTGGTTCAAGGCCCCCGAGCAAAGAAGGGGGAAGACTGGAGAGACAAGACGTTTTGGGGGCGAGTCAAACGTTCTATGTTGCATGCCTGCCCTTTGGGGAATGAGAGCAGACAAGGCGCCCTGGGGGTCAGAGGCTCAGAAGAGCGTGGAGGGACAGCCCCAGAGGGCACTCGCTTAAAGAGGGTTTTGAGTCCGTGCAATTATAAGACCTAGGGAGGAAAGCAAGGACACTTCTGTCCACAGGGAAGACAGAAAGGGCCGCTCCACGGGGCGTGGTGACCTTGACCTTGTGGAGGGAGGGACCAGATTGGACAGACTGGAGGGAGCATTGGATGGAGGACGTGGAGACAGGTGTATAGACACGGAGGAGGGGGCGGCTGCAGGGCGTTGAGGGAGGGGATGGGATTGTCTGAGGGCAGACAGGACAGCCTGGTGGAGGGGTCCTGCGGCAATGAGTCCTCTGGGAGGTGGGCCTGGCACGAGGCAGCGCTGGCAGGAGGGACCTTCGTGCTCAGTGACCTGAGGGAGGGAGGACAACGTGTGGGCAGGTGGTGGAGGTGCCCAGCTCGGTGGGGAGGACAGCAGTTGGAGGAGGAGTGGGGGCAGCGGGGAAGAGGGGGCAAGGGGGAGTCTACTTCCGAAGCAGCTGCTGAGTGGCTGGGCTGACAGAGCCTTCCACGGGGGAGGTAAAACATTTAGAGGCCGTCTTCTGCTTGGTAGGATTTCCTCCAGTGATTTATAGCCCCTGGGACCAACCAGAGAAATGGTGGCCACTTCCTGGAGCTTTCCTATGCTCCCCTCTGCTTGGTCAGGCCCCAGGACCTCACCTTGGTGAAGGTGAGGATGCCTGATAAATATTTATGAACTAACTTATCAGCATTCGAGCTGCCTCTCCTGCTCTTTACCCTCCGTAGGGGGTACCGGCTGCTGGGAGCTCAGCCCTTTGCCACATGCCAGGCTAGCCTGGTCCACTTCCTGTGAAACACAGGAGGTAGCTTCCCACAACCTCACTATACGGAAGAGGACAGCAGAGGCTTGGAACTGCTGCCGTTCCTTCCAGATATCAGCGTCCCCGACCCCAACAAAGCGGTCTTCAGATGGTAGCCCTCGGCCTGCTCCTTGAGTCCTGCTGGGGCCGTGTGCCAGTGTGGAGGCTGGCTTCTCAAAAAGGGGGGCAGGGAAAGGGCTGTGAGCAGCGAGGGATGCTAGTGATGGAGGGGCCAGCAGGGGTATCCTTGGCCTCTTAGAAAGAGGGCACATGGCACACTCATGGGAAGTGTCTGGTGAAAGCATTCCTTTTATTTTTTTGAGATGGACTCTCACTCTGTTGCCCGGCACGATCTCGGCTCACTGCAACCTCCACCTCCCGGGTTCAAGTGATCTGCCTCAGCCTCCTGAGTAGCTGGGATTACAGGCAGGCACCACCATGCCTGGCTAATTTTTGTATTTTTAGTAGAGACAAGTTTTCATCATGTTGGCCAGGCTGGTCTCAAATGCCTGATGCTGTAATCTGCTCGCCTCAACCTCCCAAAGTGCTGGGATTACAGGCATGAGCCACCGGGCCTGGCTTTTTTTTTTTTTTTTTCTGAGACAGAGTTTCACTCTTGTTGTCCAGGCTGGAGTGCAAGGGTGCAATCTTGGCTTACCACACTCGGCCTCCCGGCTTCAAGTGATTCTCCTGCCTCGACCTCCTGAGTAGCTGGATTATAGGCACGTGCCCACCGCGTCCTGCTAATTTTGTATTTTTAGTAGAGATAGTGTTTCTCCATGTTGGTCAGGCTGGTCTCAAACTCCCAACCTCAGATGATTCGCTCACCTCAGCCTCCCAAAGTGCTGGGATAACAGGCTTGAACCACTGTGCCTGGCCTGGTGAAAGATTTTTTTTTTTTTTTTTTTTAGTGGAGTCTCACTGTGTCGCCCAGGCTGGTATGATCTCAGCTCACTGCAACCTCCGCCTCCCAGATTCAAGCGATTCTCCTGCCTCAGCCTCCTGTGTAGCTGAAACTACAGGTGCCCACCATCATGCCCAGCTATTTTTTGTATTATTAGTAGAGACAGGGTTTCACTGTGTTGGCCAGGTTGGTCTGGAACTCCTGACCTCGTGATCCATCCACCTCGGCTTCCCAAAGTGCTGGGATTACAGGCGTGAGCCACTACACCTGGCCAGGTGAAAGCATTGTCAGTTTGGTTATGGTGCCCCTGGGATGAAGCCTGTCCCCCCCGCCCCCCGCCATCACCCCACACACAATTTTATTCTCCTATGACCTCATATGTGCTGTTGCTGCCACCAAACACCCTTTCTGGCCCTGTTCTTCCCACTCCTCTTCCGAGTCTACCTTAAGCCTCCGCCGGCACCTGCCTGGACAGGGTTCCAGGGAACTCCTCTCCCGGCCCCTGAGTGTCTCATAGCAAGTCTCAGAATTAGAATTGCTTCACTGAAGCACCTGGCCAGCCTCCGTCTTCCCGTCTGGGTTGTAGATTCACAAGGGCCAGGGCCAGGTCAGCCTGCTTGATGCATCCTGGCACTGAGTGCAGGACCTACTCGGACTCAAACATGTTTATGGAAGAGGGGAGAAGGGGCTGCCACCTCTCCCCCCTTCAGTAAGTGGCTCTGGCTCGGGCAGCAGTTGAAACTGACCAGGGATGGTCCTAGCCCCCTCCTCTTTTTTTTTTTGAGATGGGGTCTCGCTCTGTTGCCAGGCTGGAATGCAATGGCACGATCTCGGCTCACTGCCGTCTCTGCTTCCCAGGTTCAAGCCATTCTCCTTCCTCAGCCTCCTAAGTAGCTGGGTCTACAGGTACACGTCACCGCGCTGGGCTAATTTTTTTGTATATAGATATATATATATATATTTTTTTTTTTTTTTGAGACAGAGTTTCGCTCTTGTTACCCAGGCTGGAGTGCAATGGCACGATCTCAGCTCACCACAACCTCCGCCTCCCAGATTCAAGCAATTCTCCTGCCTCAGCCTCCCGAGTAGCTACAGGTGGGACTACAGGTGCACACCACCATGCCCAGCTAATTTTTGTATATTTTAGTAGAGACGGGGTTTCACCATGTTGACCAGGATGGTCTCGATCTCTTGACCTCATGATCCACCCGCCTCGGCCTCCCAAAGTGCTGGGATTATAGGCGTGAGCTACCGTGCCCAGCCATTTTTTTTGTATTTTTAGAGAGATGGGGTTTCACCATGTTGAGCAGGATGGTCTCGATCTCTTGACCTTGTGATCCACCTGCCTCGGCCTTCCAAAGTGCTGGGACTATGGGTGTGAGCCACTGTGCCTGGCCGTGGCTTAGCCTTTTCTGATGACCCCACCTTTGCATCCAGCAGGGTCTCTGGAATGGGCCCCTCGCGTGAGTTCTGTCATCTGATGCTCTCAGTGTCCTTGCGCTGTTGTCACCACTGTCAGCAGCGGACAGATAAGGAGATGGAGGCCTTGATGGTGAAGTGACTCTGGCCGGGAAAAGGGCATTTGTGGGGGGACCTACCTGTCTCTTAAGTGCCTGCCCCTTACCGCCAGGTGCATAGACACTTCCAGGAGTCAATCCTTCCTTTCTCACCACCTCCTCGAATTGCCCTCCCACCTCTTTATACTTCTTGATGCTTTTTGAGTTTCTCAACTGTAGCCTTTGCTGTTTGCCATGGGGGCTGCCCCATCCTCGGAGCCTGTGGTCCAGGGTGCGAGGCTGGACTGAGCGCCTGGGTGTGCAGGCGGCCTCTGGCCAGCAGGGGGAGCCCACGAGCTGCGAGCCTGGTCAGGGCCGGCGCTTCTCAGCTGGTTGGGGTTTCTGTGCCTAGTGCCACCCCAAAGGGAAGGCAGGGCCCATGGGGCGGGGCCTGGGCAGGGGGATGTGGCCAGGGTGGATCCAGAGTCCATGAGTGAGTGGGAGGGCCTGACTCCTCACTCTAGTTCCTGCTGTGTGAGCGTGGCCTCCCAACCTGCCTGAGCCCCGGTTTCCTCATCTGTAAAATGGGGGTGATTCCAGCCGCCTTGGCCACGCTGGGAGCCCTCAGCCACTGCTGGGGGAATGTTGGGGACAGGTGCCAGGTCCCCTTGGTCCTTCAGCTCCTGGAGGAGAGGACAGCATCCCGCTGCCTGCATGCAGTGACAATGAGGCAGAACTGACTGGCAGTGGGACTGACGGATAATGTCACTGGTGAGGCTGCCAACCGGCCTGGCCTTAGTGTGTGGGAGGAAGCTCCGAGCTGGGACCCAGAGAGATGTGGACTCTGCTGGAAAGTGGCAGGGCTGAATTCTGAACCCAGGTCTGCAGTGCCTGAGCCAGTCCCTCAGCCTCCCCAGGCCTCAGTTTCCCTCCCTGAACAAAGAGAACAGGACAAGATGTTCTAGATGTTCTAGGGGCCTATGAGGCTCCCCCAGCATGCACACCCTGTGTGCCCAGGGGAGGATGGACAGGAAGGGCTGGTTTGCATTCTTGATGAGGCAAGAGGGGACACCTTGGGGTGGGAGTGTCCGGCCCACTCCTCTCCCCCGGCCCTGATCCTCCTTCCTGTTCCTGCAGCCTTTCTGAAGGGCCTGAGTGACAAGCAGCGGGAGGAACATTACTTCTGCAAGGACTTTGTGAAACTGAAGAAGATCCCTACGTGGAAGGAGATGGCGAAAGGTAGGCTCTGCTCAGGGAGGCCCTGGTGGGGTGCCCCAGACCCGCGGCCGGGAGAAGTGTGCCGATGAGAGGAGTGAGTCTACAGCATGTATCAGGTGCTTGCTGTGCGCAGGCGCTCTGTGTGTCACTTCATTCAGTTGTTTTATTTTTTGAGACAGAATTTCACTCTTTTTGCCCAATTTGGAGTGTAATGGTGTGATCTTAGCTCACTGCAGCCTCCGCCTCCTGGGTTCAAGTATTCTTCTGCCTCAGCCTCTCGAGTAGCTGAGATTACAGGCACCTACCACTATGCCTGGCTGATTTTGTGCTTTTAGTAGAGACGGGCCAGGCTCTTACCATGTTGGCCAGTCTTAAACTCCTGACCTCAAGGAATCTGCCCACCTCAGCCTCCCAAAGTGCTGGGATTATAGGCATGATCCACCGCACCTGGCAACCTCATTCAATTATTTATTTTTCTTTTTTGAGATGGAGTCCCTGTTGCTGAGACTGAAGTGCAGTGGTGTAATCGCCACTAACTGTAACCTCCGCCTGCTGGTTTCAAGCTGGGATTACAAGGCATGCACCACCATGCCCAACTAATTTTTGTAAATTTAGTAGAGATGGGGTTTGAGGCATGAGCCACCGTGCCTGGCTTTTTTTTTTATTATTATTATTTTGGCCAGGCTGGTCTCGAATTCCTGACCTCAAATGATCTGCCTGACTCAGCCTCCCAAAGTGCTGGGATTACAGGCGTGAGCCACCGTGCCCGACCACCCTGTTCAATTATTAACACAGCCTGAGGCAAGTGGAACTTTTATCCCCATTATATGGTAGAAGGCAGAGCCCTGGGTCAGGTGAGCCACCTGCCAGACGCTCCTTGCTTGTGGGGAGCTGGGTTGTGAAGCTGAGGTTTGGTTGCTTACAGTGGGGTGTGTTGGTGAGAAAGTGGGCCTGGTGACTCATCACCCTGGGCAAGTCCCTGACCCACCTGAGCCTCAGTTTCCACCTCTGTGAAATGGGATGGATGATATTAGCACTGTACCTGCTGGTGGCCTTGCTCTGAAGATGCAAGGAGTCCCCTCACGGTGCTGGCATGCAGTAGGTGCCCCTCAGCGTGGCTTCCTGGTACAGGGTCAGCAGTCATGGCGCCGCAGCCTGCCTCTGGAGGTGGAGGGAGGTCGATGGGGAAGGCCCTGGGCCCTGGCTGGGTCCCTTTGCAGTGGCCAGCCTCGCTGTGACCTCTCTGGTCCCTGCTTGTTCCAGGGGTGACCACGAAGGTGGAGGAGCCCAGGTATAAAAAGGACAAGCAGCTCAATGAGAAGATCTCCCTGCTCCGTGGCGACATCACCAAGCTGGAGGTGGATGCCATCGTCAATGCTGGTGAGTGCCCGGCCTGAGCCAGAGCTCTAGTGGCCGCCCCATTGCCTTTGCTCTGCTGTGCTATGCCAGGCCTGGGTGGACGCCACCTGGCTCCACTGAGGCTTGGGTTGCCGGCGAGGACGGCCTGCTGGCGCCACGGGAGCCTAGCATGTCGGCCACTCGGCTCCTCTTCCCCTGAAACCCTGACCTGCTGTGTCAGGGGCACCTTGCTCCACAGAGACCCATTAGTGGCCGGGAAAGTGGGAGAGCTCAGCTAGAACTAGGCTGCCCTGCCAGGAAGGTGGTGGCCAGAGCAGGGAGGTCTGACCTTGGGGGGCCGCAGACGCCCCTACGACTGCCTGCCTTCCTCTGTCATTGGCTTGCCCTGCCCCCCTTAAGGCCTGAGCAGGTTAGGGAGCTCATTGAGGGGACAGTGGGGGCAGAGAGGTCCCCTGCGGCACCCTGGCAACTTTCCAGTGCCTGGAAATGGGAGCCGCTCAGCTTCCTGCACTCGCCTCTTGCTGGCTTGGCAGTTTATCGTGATGAGTGTGGGAAATGGCTCTTCTTTGTCAGGGGGAGGAAGGGGCTGCTCCTTGTGCAGGCGGCGGTTGTCTAGCAAGGTCCAAAGGCTCCAGGAAAGGACTTTGGCTTGGGGTGCCAGGGGCTGGTTAGGTCCAGCAGGTGGCTGTGGAACAGGTTGACTGGCAGCTGAACCCCACTCCTCGCCTGCCTGCTTCTCGCTCTTTGCTTACCCAGCACCTGCACCTAGCGTCGGAGGAAGGGAGGCCTTTCTCAGGCCCTGAATGTGGGGGCGGACCCTCTCATCTTGGACTCCAGCTCACAGGGAGAATCCTGCCTGCCAGCCCCTTCCCAACCTATGCAGGCTCGGGCCACCTGCAGAGCTTCTCTAGTGTCCTTCGTCCCCACATTGGGCTTGTAGCGGTGGCGCCTGGCCCCAGCGCTGTCCCCCAGTGACTCTGGGGTGGGGTGGGGTGGATGCTCTAAGCATTTCCATTGATCTCTGTGAGTGACCGGCTCTGCGATCCGGAAACGGGAGGTCACTTGGCCGCCCTAGTCCTGGTCCATGGGGTCTAAATTGTGTTTCCCGAAGCAGCTGGTGATGGCAAAGCTGGATAGTCATATGGGGGTGTCTTGCCCACACGTCGCCTATCTAGGCACGCAGATGACATGTCACACGTAGGCAGGAGTTACTGCTCAGAGTGTCTGGCTGAGGGGGGCAGAGGGAGCTGGGGTCACCTTGGGCTCCTGCAGGTGGTTCTGGTGTCTTTCTCTGGGGCCACTGGGACGACTGCTAGTCCGTCTGGGGATACATGGCTAAGACAAAGCCACATCTGGTTTGTCAGATGTTACAGAGACCTTAGGGAGTAAGGTGTTCTTGCTGCCTGTACCCAGGGACTGGCTGGCCTGGAGTGGGAGGACAGAGCCTTGGGGCTGTGGCTGAGGGGGCAGTCAGGCAGGCCACTGGGTACCCCAGCCCTGCCAGTCACTGGCAGGCGTGCAAGAGGTGCCCAGCGGGATCTTCTTGCTGAGCTGCACAGTGGTCAGAGGGAAAATGAGGCGTCCTGTGAGCTCTGTTCCCCCTGGATTGGTGGTTGGCTGGAACGTGGGCCGGGACAAAGGGTGCAGGGACCAGGGTGGGGTGACGGCAGATGCAGATGGAATGGGGGCACTCTGGAGGCTGCACCCGGACTGTGATGTGATTAATGCCTCTTCCTAAGCGCCCTTGCGAGGTGCCAGGCTTCGGATATGGCAGCTCCATCAGAAGCGTGTTAGTGCCGGCTCCGTTTGCAGTAGGGCCAGGGTTGGGGCAGCCCTGGCCAAGTTTCTCTGGGGACTCCCCTTCTCTGTGCCCTTGCCTTGACCTGTTTCCTCCTCTGCACAGTGGGGGTGGCGAGGAAACCACCCGTCAGGTTGCTGGGGGCACTCAGAGCTGATGCCTGTGACGTGCACATGACAGTCACTCAGCACCCGGTGGGAATCGGGGCCCAGCACCTCGCATTGGTGCTGAAACTGGTGTCCTCAGTGCCATCTGGGCATCACCCCTGTCCTGGGGGTGCCGAGGGGGGACATGGCACCTCCTGCAGATGATCAGCTTTTGCCTCCCCCTGCTTGCCTCAGTTTACCCCCACACCTCTTGATGTGTTTTCCTGGGATCTTTTCACTTCTAGGAGGACCCAGCTAGGGTCCTCAGAAGCCTGTACAGCCAGGAGAACCCAGTACCCGCCTGGAATCCCAGGGAATGGTGGAGGCAGAGTCTGGACACAGGCTTCCCACACAGAGCCCGAATCTCCTCCGGGCCGTCCAGGGCTTTGTGGAGCCCCAGCGTTCAAAGTGGCCTCGGTACTGGTCAGGCCTCCGGGGTCCTGGGTGCCTTGGCTCCCACCCCAGCCTCTTCGCCCACCAGGCGGCAGCAGAGATCGCAGCTCCCGGGAGCCCATAAATCAGCCTGTTTATTAGTGGAATAAAAGTCGCCGGCAACGGCGGGGCTTTTCAGGGCTGCATAAATCTGCGTCTGTGCCTCGTGAAACCCATATGTGCTTAATTCATATGTAAAGTTTCAAGCAGGAAGAGAATACGTGTCCATTAAATTCTATTTGACTTGATTATAATCATTAGCCGTGAATAATTGCTTCTCAGTGCCTACCACGAGCCACCACAATAAGCCAGAGGAGAGAGCAATTATCTTGGGGTGGAGATTTTTAAATTTATATTTTTGAAGCCAGGGGCAGTGCTGGCCCCGCAGGCATCAGTGGCCCATGGAGAACGTGGAGGGTCGCCCTGGGCTGGGAACTTGAGGCCTAGCTGCCAGAGCTTCTGGATTTTGTTGGGGAGGAGAGGGGGTTCTCTTTGTTCCTGCTGCCATATGGGAGGGGCTGTCACTGCCTGGGCGTGGGTCCAGCTGCAGGGATGTGGAGGGGAAGGGTACAGGGGGAGCTGGGAGAGGGCTGTGAGGGAAAGGAGGCGGGGGGGCTCCCAACCCCCTACCCTCCTCCATCCTGAAAAGCTGTGGGTTTGAAGGAGTCTCCAGCCAGGCTGTAGGCATCCCTCCTGCTACTCAGCAGGGCTCTGGGGATCCCTGGAGATGGTGGGCACCAGATGTCCCCTTCCTGCCCCCCTCACTCCATCTCCTCCCCGCCTACAACCTCCCTCAGGCCTTTGAGAATTGGACTCTGGGCTGGGTGCAGTAGCTCACTCCTGTAATCCCAGCACCATGGGAGGCCAAGACGAGAGGATCACTTGAGCTCAGAATTTGAGACCAGCCTGGCCAGCATAATGAGACCCTATCTCTACAAAAAATTAAAAACAAAAAAATGAGCCAGGCATGGTGGTTTGTGCCTATAGTCCCAGCTACTCAGCAGGCTGAAGCAGGAGGATTACTTGAAACTGGAAGGTTGAGGCTTCAGTGAGCCATGATTGTGCCACTGCACTCCAGCCTGGGTGACAAAGTGAGACCCTATCTCAAAAAAAGAGAAAATAGAAAATAGAACATCAGACTCTGGGCTGGGCATGGTGTCTCTGCCCATAATCCCAGACCTTTAGGAGGCTGAGGCAGGCAGATCATTTGGGGTCAGGAGTTTTGAGACTTGCCTGGCCAACATGATGAAATCCCATCTCTCTGATAAAAATACAAAAATTAGCCAGGCATCTACTTGGGAGGCTGAGGCAGGAGAAATACTTGAACCCAGGAGGCTGGGGCAGGAGGACTGCTTGAACGTGGGAGGTCCAGGCTGGAGTGAGCCATGATTGTGCTACTGCCCTCCAGCCTGGGCAACAGAGCGAGACTCTGTCTCAGAAAAAAAAGAAAATCAGACTCTGAGGCTGCATGCGGTGGCTCACTGCTGTAGTCCCAGCACTTTGAGAGGCTGCATGCGGTGGCTCACTGCTGTAGTCCCAGCTCTTTGAGAGGCTGCATGCGGTGGCTCACTGCTGTAATCCCAGCACTTTGAGAGGCTGCATGCGGTGGCTCACTGCTGTAGTCCCAGCTCTTTGAGAGGCTGAGGCGGGAGGACCGCTTGAGCAGAGGAGTTTGAGACCGGCTTGAGCAACACAGTGGCACCCTGTCTCTACAAAAAATAAAACTGGCTGGTGTGGTGGTATATGCCTATAGTCCCAGCCACTCGGGAGGCCTCGGTGGGAGGATCACTTGAGCGGGGAGGTCAAGGATGCATTGAGCTGTGACTGTGCCACTGCACTCCATCCAGCCTGGGCAACAGAGTGAGACCTGTCTCAAAAAACAAATAAAAATAAGAAAATCAGACTCTGTTTCCTTAGTGATCTCCTGACATTTGAAATTCAGGAGTGGTTTCCACTATCATGTTATCGGGCTATGTGAAATGTGATTGAGGTGTGTGTGATGGTGTGTGTGTGAGGTCAGGAGTTCTACCTGTGAGTGTGGGGGGCGTGTATGCATTTGTGTGATGTGTGATGCTATGTGTGTGCGGTAGCGTGTTTGTGTCTGTGCTTGTGTGCTGCCTGGGGTGTGTGTGATTCGGGCTGTGCGATGCAGTGTGTGTGGTGCGATGTGTGTGTGTATAGGGTGCGGTGGGAGGTTGGCAGAAGCATAGAAGTGGGGATGCCTGGCTGGTGGGTGGCAGGGCTTGAGGTCACAGGGACGGGACAAAACCCCCCACCCAAGGGCACAGCACAGGCCTCCCTGGGCCCTGGCCCCATGGGCTGCCAGCCAAGGCCACGTGCTCGGGCACCATCCGTGAGAGTCTCAGACTCCTGCCATCTGTGCCGGCCGCGGCTTCTGCCCACAGGAGCATGGCGCATCCATCTTAATGAAATTGGGCTGCCTCGCGCAGGAGATAAGTCGGGTACCCCCCACAGGCTCCCTCTTCTGGAGGAGGAGGTTCTCGGAGCCAGTGCCAGCCTCTCCAGCCTGGCCTATGACCTCAGGCCTTCGTCTGGGAAGAGCTCTGGTCTGGGGGTCTCACCCAGGGGGTGCTGAGGCTTCCAGGGTGTTTATATCATCTTTTTGCCACAGGGGTGCAGTGACC